AGTCTCCCCCACCCCAGGAGCACAGAGCTCTGCCATCCCTGGGGGTGATGCCCCAGAGCCCCCTTCATCCACTCCTCTGGACCAAAATCACCCGGAGCCAGGGCTGACCTAGCAGTCACCAATGGGACCAGGCGATGGCTGCTCTGCCAACCCTTTGCTATAAAACCCCAGAGCTTCCCCCGGCCCCTGGAAGACAGGTCTTGAAACCCTTTATCTTTTTGTCCCAGAGTTAGAGGCACCATCTCTGGGACTGACATTTGGTGGCAGGTGGCCAATCCTAATCTGTTGGCCCAAATCCAGGGGTTTTGCCCCAAACCACAATAACAATACCAGCTATTTATTGAATAAATAGTAGTGATTAAGTGGCTTTTTTTTTTTTTTTGAGATTGAACCCGGGGCTATGCTTCCTAATGCTTTTTTCTTTCCCTGATGCTTTTTAAATTTTTCATTTCGAGACAAGCCCCTCATAAGTCACTAAATTGTTCACTTGGAAGTCAAATTCTAGATCCTCCTGCCTCAGCCTCCCAGAGTGTTGGGCTTTTGCCAACATGCCTGGCTGAGATGGTTTTTTGGGAGAATTTACCTAATGGCAGGTTGACTCACTGGTGCTGTGTCACGGTGTCCCAGCCCACAGTGCAGGCCGTTTTACAATCCATCCCTTCTCCACTCTCTTCCTGGTCTAGACAGCGTGTAATAGTTTTGCAGGGTTATTTTAACTTTCACTCCTTTAATAGCTAGTGAGACTGGGTGTTCTTCTTGGAATGATTTATTGGTTTCATTGCATTGCACAACAACCCTGTTTTCAAACACTGTGATTCCCACAGGTTTATTCCTGCAAATGTGTTTACATCTCACGGAACATTTCACTGACCGCAATATTTTTTTAAGAAAGAAGTTTGGAGGCGGAGAAAGAAACAGAAGAAAACTTTCTAGTAAAGGGATGGCGGCTGGAAGTCAAAGCTCATCCCCAAGGGCGGTTCTGTCCCCTGGAACTCTCCACGATGATAGGTCTCTTCTTCCTCTTCCTTCTCCTCCTCTTTCTTCTTATTCTTTTTTTCGGAGACAGGATCTTGCTGATGTAGTGCAGGCTGGCAATCCTCCTGCCTCAGCCTCCCGAGTGCTGGGATTACACAGTGTGTCACCATGCCCAACTAAATTTAAATATTTGACATTAGTCCTGAGAAAGACAGTCTCAGTGTGTCAGTTCTCACAGAAGATCCTGCTCAGTTTGTGACCCCAGCTCTTTGGAGGCTGAGGCAGGAGGATCAAGAAGAGCCCGAGGCCAGTTTGGGCCACATAGCAAGACCCTGTCTCAAACAAAACTGGTCAGAGGCTCATTCTGGAAATCTGAGATCCCCTAGAGGGCGCCCATTCGCCATGAGAGACTTTTTAAAATGGCTTTATTGCCAGGTGTGGTGGCTCAAACCTGGAATCCCAGCACTCTGGATGGGTGTGAGTTTGAGTCCAGGCTGGGCTACATGGTCAGTTTAGGGATAGACTGGAGCATATAGTAAGATTCTGCCTCAAAAAACCAAACACTGAGGGCCGGTGATGTAGCTCAGTGGCACAGCGCCTGCGTGGCAAGTGCAAGGTCCTGAGTTCAAATCCTAGTATGAAAAGAAAAAAAAAAAAAAACAACTAGAACATAAATAAAAATTGCTTATTGAGAGATGAATCACATCTCATACAATTTACTCATTTAATGTGTACAAATGAATGGTTCTCACTTTTTTTAAAAATGGTTTTTATCCTATTTACAGCATAGTACGACCATCAGGACCTCGATTTTAAAACAATTTTGTCATCTGAAAAAGAAATCCCATGCCCTCCCCTCTATCTTCTCCTTTCTGCCATTATCTGTGTTTCTGTCTTTATGGACCTGCCTGTCTATGCTGGGTGTTTCAAGGGTTGTGCACGTGTGTGTGGTACCCAGGGCCTTTACACTGAGCTTTATCCTCAGCCTTTTTTTTTTTTTTTTTTTTTATTTCTTGGGGTTTTGTGTGTGTGTGTGTGTGTGTGGTTTTTTTTTTTTTTGAGTCAAGGTCTTGCTGTCTAACCCAGGCTGGCCTCAAACTCTTGACAAGGCAATCCTCCTGCCTCAGCCTCCCAAGTGCTGGGATTACAGGCCTGTGCCACACTGCCTGGCCACCTTTTCAAATTCTTTATCTTTTTTTGTCTTTTTCCTTTTTATCGGTACCAGGGATCAAACTCAGGACTGCCTGCTTGGAGGCAGGCGCTTATGCCGCTGAGCTAAATCCCCAGCCCCCACATTCTTTATCTTAAGACAGATTCTTTCTAAATTTTCTAGTCTGGGCTCAAATTTGCAATTCTCCTGCCTCTGCCTCCTAGAGGGCTGATATTAAAGGCCAGAGCCACAGTGCCTGGCTGATTATGCAGATTTCAAATGTGTAGAATCCTAGGAAGGGGCCTTATCTGGCCCCTGCGATTCTGACCTGTTTCTAAGATTCCTCGCATCCTAAGAGCGTGTGGGAACGTCATTCCCTCTAATCGCCGAATAATATCCCATTGTGTGACCCAGGGTATTTTGTTTATTTATTCACCTGGTGATGGATTCTTGGACTGGCGCCACCTTTGTGCATTGTACAGACAGGTGGGTCCTTCCTACTACTTCTGGGAATTTGGGGACCCAGCCCCTCAGTCCTGGGCTCCCCTTTATTTCAGCTGTGCTGTCCATGGGAGCAGCACCCCCTGGAATTGGACAGCTCACAGTTCTGTGGTCAGGAAAATGTCCCCGGGGTCACACCTCCCCAGAGACGGTTTCCCTGCTGGCAGGGCAGAGGGAACTCCCTGCACCCCAAGTTGTACACAGCATCCTTTGGTGGAGTCCAGATTCCGGCCAAGTGATCGACAAAGCGATATGGAAGGGCGTTTGGACTGGGAGCCCCAGACGTGCTAGGGAGAGGCCAGGCCACACCACCCACATAAGGGCCTGTGGAAAGTGCCACCAGATCTGTCCCCATCACTGAGAGAAGAATGTGGTAGGTGCCTGACCTGCCTTCCAGCTGATCTACTCAGATAAGCCACAGGCCGGGAAGTGTCCCTCACTGTGGGACTGAGGCTGGGGCTGGGCACCGGCCTGGTAACTGCAAGAATCCACTCAGCAGGTGGCAGGCAGCTCAGACAGGGCCACAGGCCAAGGCACAGTTTGTACCAGGTTGAAGGTTGGCTGGGGCTGCTGGCCAAATGCCTGAGGAGGGCAGGAGAGCAGACAGGAGGGCCCAGTGTTGGAGGCCTGAGGGCCAGGGTGGACTTCAGAACAGGGCCAAGCCAGTCAGGAAGGCATGCTCAGAATTTGGAGCAGGTGCATTAATTTCTGTGAGAGCTGGGATGGGAGGTAGTTAAGAGGCCACGGTCTCTCCCACAAGCACAGGGAAGATGATGGCAGTGTAAGATAAACAATCACAGGCATGATGGCGCACGCCTTGAAACCCAGCACTTGGGAGACTGAGGCAGGAGGATCACTGGGAATTCAAGGACAGCCTGGGCTACATATTGTCTCAAAAAATAAATGAACAGACTTCTGGGAAAATGGCACAGTGGCAAGTGGCAGAGAAAGAATCTCTCTCAGTTTTGGTGTCCAGATCCTGGAATACAGCAGCACGGGCCGAAACTGGGATCCACCAATAAGACTGCGAGTGTGGCCGCTTAGGTAATATTGACCCAATAGGAGCAAGGGCACAGATGACATCATTAGCGTGGGTCCGTAATCTATGTAGTCTATTACCCTAGTCTCAGTGGCTGGGAAGGATGACCCACTCCTAATGGGATAATGGTTTATGTGTACGGAAAATCTCCAAATGGTGGTACCCTAACCTCAAGCTTCAGTTCATCCTTTAGGGACGCAGGTAAATCTGGCCACTGTGACTTTAATCTTCCTCAAAGGCGCCTCCAGCCAAGCTGTGACATGTTCTCACCTCTGCACTGACTCCCTGGAGGGCCTGGCCCTGTCTAACTGCCTGTTAATATTTCTACCTACCTAAGCTGCCTATAAGCCTGGGATTACTGGTGTGTAACACCCTGCCTGACTCTGCCTTCGAATACGGCAAAATGTCAGTAATTGTACCAGGTGTTAATATTAGTTACGTTTTCTGTGTTTCATTGGTTTTTGTTCTTTGGTGACGGTGGTACTGGGGCTTGAACCCACAGTCTTCCCATGCAGGTTCATTGTCCGCCCCTTTCATTTTTTATGAGGACACTGAGTCTCACCTAAATCACTAGATTGCCCAGCCTCTGAGGCCGGATGGGAGTGGCAGCACACACCTCTGAGCACAGTACTTCCAAGGCTGAGGAGGAGGAGGAACCCCACAAATTCGGGGCCAGCCTGAGCTACAGAGTGAGTTCAGGGTCAGCCTGGACTACACAGCAAGACCCAGTCTCAAGAGAAAAAGCAAACAAACATACAACCACCTTGGGATCCTCCTGCCTCAGCTTCCCTGAGTGCTGAAATTATAGTCATGCACCCTCAACCCCAGCATGTGTTTGGGGTTTTTATTCCCAGGGTTAGGGCTTGAATCCCTCATGCATGCTTGACAAGCACTCTACCCTGAACACTATTTATTATTTATTGAAACTAAAAATCTTCAAAGACAATGTGTGTGCACACGACTGTGTTGGTGCTAAGTACTACACAAAACCCAAACAGGACTGAGGATGGGCAAGCAGCTGTGGAAATTCGATTGTAAACGGGGCGGCGGTTATAGTGGTGTAGAGGATTCAGCAGCCCCAGGGGTCAGGCCCAGCATCTTCTGAGCACAAAAGGTCAGTGCGGAGCTGAGGCACAGACTGGGTGAAGGTGTGTCAGCTGAGCTGGGGAGGGGCTGAGCAGGTGTCAAAGGTCACTGGGAGGATGGATGGTGGTTTTTATTTTTCCCCAGGACTAGACTGAACCCAGGACCTTTGCACTGAACCACATTCCAGCACTTTTTATTTATTTATTTTTATTTTGAGACAAGGTCTCCCTAAAGCACTAAATTGCCCAGGCTGCCTTTGGATTTGCCACCCTCCTGCTTCAGCCTCCTGAGCAGCTGAGATTACAGCTCCAACTGTGGCCTTTGGGACCGGAGCCCGCTTGTGTGTGGAATGTGTGCGCCTCCTTCGGGGCTGGCAGGCGTACAGAACCGGCGCGACATCGGTTTGCCCTTCCAGATCTCCCGCCTACGCGGGTCTCAGCAGGAAGGGGCGGGCTCTGCAGTGCGGCTTCGCTGGGGCGCGCGTTGCCATAGCGACCCTGGCCGGGCCCGGCAGCCTCGGGTGCCAACCGCAGGCTGAGGGCGAGGCCGGGAAGCTGCGACTGCGGGCGAGCGCAGGTGGGCGCAGGGGTGGGGTGGGGTGGGATGGGGTGGGGAGTGCTCCCCCCGCCCACGGTGACTGTTATTTAGGGACGAAGCAACCTGCGGGGACTTGTGCAAGCCTTTCTTTCCCTCTCCACGGCTGTGAGTGAGGCCGAGACCTCCCCAGCAGCAGAGTCTGTGTGCCCCAAAGTGTGGGGCTGCGGGGATTTTGGGGTGCACCGGCGGAGCAGCAGCACCCAGACACCTCAGCAGAAAGTTACCAGGCCCGCGCTGAGCTGAGCGTGGGGCCCCGTGCGGGCGGGCGGAGCGCTGCTCTCCTACCTGGCGCTAAGGAGCGGGTTGATCCTTATCACCTAGAAGAAATAAGAGGAAGGGAATTAGAATCAGGATGCCCAAAATTGTGAGCAAGCCAAGGAAGAAGTGTCGTTTTGGGGTTAATATGGGAATTTCTCTCTGTCTCGAACACTGGGGATTGAATCCAGGGCTTTCCCATTTAGCTACATTTGCAGTCCTTTTTCGAATTTTTAAACAGTGTGGCTTACTGGTTTAGAACTTGTGATTCTCCTGCTTCAGCCTCCCACAGTGTTGGGATTACAAACTTGTGCCACTCTTAACTTTTTTTTTTTTTTTTTTTTTTTTTTTTGTCTTTTTCGTTTTTATCGGTACCGGGGATCGAACTCACCACTACCTGCTTGCAAGGCAGGCACTTATGCCGCTGAGCTAAATCCCCAGCCCCTCTTTTTTTTTTAAACAAAGTTTTGCTTAGTTCACTATGGATTATAGATGTTTGCCACTATGCTGGGCAACATCTATTTTAATGTTTGCTTATGTCTCATTTTATGGTTTTGTGGGGGGATTTTGTTTTTTGTTTTGGGTTTTTTTTTGGTATTTTTTGAGACAGGACCTCACTATGTAGCTCAGACTGGCTTTGATCTCAGAGGATCCTCCTGCCTCAGCCTCCCAAGTTAGAGCCTAGCCACCTATAAACCACAGTATCAAACTAAGACTGGAGTTGGTTCTGTTTACTATTTTTATATTACACTTATGTTCACCTTACAGTACCTAGTACTGTAATGTGTAAAGTCTACTTTTTGGATAAACATATCAATTTTTTAAAATGAGTGAATTTAAACATAAAGATGAATCCTAGCACAGGTGGTACTGGGTAGAAAACAACCTGATATTTAGGACTCCAGCCTGGTTTCTGCTTCCAGTTTTCTTTGCCTGGAGCAGTTTTCTGTCTTCCTGAGCGTGACTGTCAAAGTTGGGAAGAACCAGCATGGCCCACTGCTGTCGCCCCACCCGCCCTCAGGCTTAGGTCCTGATAGTCCAACACCAGAAGTCTGAAGTCCCAGGAAATCCTGCGTTCCAAAAACAGTTGGTCACCCTTGAGGTGGCTGCTTTACTTGGAGGAAGTCAAATGGCAGAGGGAAGGATGCGGTCAGAGCTGCTGGGCTCCTCCCGGCTGAAAGCCTACTGTGTGCAGGCACTGGGCATGATGGGAAAGCAGGAGAGGACACAGAAGCCAGGGCCGGCTGAGGAAACTGCTTTTGGAGGTTGGGGCCAGAGCACAGATGGGGAGTTCCAGCCCCAGCATCCCAGAGGGGGAAGGTAGGACTAAGTTTGATCTCCAAGAACACAGAAGGCTGCTTCCAATGCAGGTAGGAAACCCCAGTACTCAGCCAGAAACAAAACCCTTTCCTCCTGCTGCCCCGTCTGCCAGTCTCTCCCTGTCCTGAGCCCTCCCAGGGACTCCAGACTCCCACACCACCCAGCAAGATGTGTACAAAACCAGAGGGCAGGGTAACTATAAATTAGCCAAGTGTGGTGGTGCCCACCTGTAAACCCAGCTCTATAGGAGGCTGAGGCAGGAGGATCACAAGTTCAAGCCTAACCGAGGCAACTTAGTAAGACCTGTCTCAGTAAAAGATGGGGATGGCTGGTGAATGTAGCTTCCTAAAGAAGTCCCAGGAGATGGACAGATGGACATGAATGTTTGGACTGAAGTCCTGAGGACACGAGGAACACAGACTGGCTCCCAGACACTGGCGGTGGAGTGGAGGCCCTCCTGAGTCACCCAGCATCTCTCGGTCACTCTGTCAAAAAGCACAGGAAAACAGCCCGGCCTAGATGGAAAGAATAACTAGGTGATGGGTAGAGTCGCACAGTCCCTGGTGGGTCTGGGACTGCCCCAGTTTACCACTTGTGTCCCTGGATCACCTTCCTTTCCAAACCAGCCGTCACCGTTGGGGCAGGTGCCGCTTCTTCCGCAGCTCTCCTAGCAGTCTGTGTGAGGTGGACAAGGCTTCCCGGCCAGGACAAGGGGGGAAGGGGCGTCCCTGGAGGTGGTCTAGAGCCAGGGCTCTGCCAGGACCCCCTGTGCCCCTCGTACAGACCCCAGAGCTCCACACCACCTTGCCCCTCCCCCCAGGCTCCTCCAGGCTGAGATTGGTCATTCTGGTCACTAACTAGGTGGCCATTATTGCTCTCCAGGGACGGTGCCATCACAGTCCTAGGTTCCCCCTGGTCTCCCTGGGCTCCCCAGCAATTGTGCCATCAGACCCCCCACCCTGAAGGGGGCCCCAGAGGAGGGAAGGGCAGGGAGAGGACAGCCCAGCTCATTCTAGCACAGCAGGTCCCCCCAAGGGCTGCTCCCCTGTCCCGGGACTGGGCACGCACATGACTCGCCCCACTTTGCCGCCCCAGGAGCTGGGCGACCACGAGGTGCCCCCCTGAGCCTCTGATGTCCTCACCCCCAGCCGGAGCCCAGCATGCCGGTCTTCAAGTGCCCGCGGAAGTCGGCGCCCCTGTGGAAGGGCTGGGAGGAGAAGGCCCGGAAGAACGGGCGGAGGCACCATGTGTACGCCGTGAATGGGGACCACTACGTGGGGGAGTGGAAGGACAACCTTCGACACGGTGCGTGGGACCCGGGGGGCGCGGCCGGCGTGTAGGGCCTCAAACCCGTGATCCTCCTGCCTCGGCCTCCCAAGTGCTGGAAGCACGCGTGTGCCACCCTGCCCCGCTGTGTACCAGTTCTTACTGAACATCTGTTTTCAGTTGTCTTTAGAGAGCTGAAACGGAATGGCTGGGTCAAGTGGTGTTCTGTGTTTAACTTCATTTTTGTATTTCATGGTGCTGGGGATCAAATGTAGGGCTTTAGCTTTCTGACTTCTTAAAGATTAAACGGTAAGTTTCTGTGTCTGGCTTTTTCTTTCTTTTGTTTTTCTTTTTTTTGTGTGTACCGGGGATCAAACTCACAACCTTGTGCTTGCCAGGCACTGAGCTAAATTCCTGGCCTTTTATTTGTTTGGGGCATGGAGGCTGGATCCCCTGGGCATTCTCCTAGTTACATCCCCAGTCCCTTTTATTTTTTGAGACAGGATCTTGCTAACTTTTTAAATTGCCCAGGCTGAACTTGGATTTGTGATCTTCCTGCCTCAGCCTCCCAGAGTGCTGAGATTACAGGTCTGTACCACTTAGGACGGGCTGCAGATTTGGCTCAGTAGTAGAATAGTCCTCTGGCATGTGTGAGGTCATGAGTCCAGTTCTCCTCACCACACACACACACACACACACACACACACACTCTCTCTCTCTCTCTTTCTCTCTCTCTCTCTCTCACTCACATACTTAGATTGTCCGATGAGATGGTCTTGTTTACACAGGAAAACTCTTTGAGGCCCAGAGAAACCCAAAGAATTATTTGTTCAAGGGTCACAAAGTTCATAGGGACAAAGTTGGCTTTGTCCCAGGCTATCAAGGACCAAGATGTGAACTGACCATTGAAACACTCTACCAGTGTTTTACCCATAGCCAGGTATGGGGGTGTGCATTCCCAGCACTGGGGAGGCTGAGGCAGGAGAACCACTGAATTCAAGGCCAACCTGGGCTCCATAGCAAGACCTTGTCTCAAAAAAAAAAAAAAGGATTTTACTCATTTCTTTGGTCACATTCCTATGGGAGAGATGGACAATCGATAGAGGGTCCGAGTAAGGGAAGTAGCCATTATTTGAGGAGTCCTCAAGGGTTATGGAAAGAAACAGCAAGATAAGGGGTGGGGGAGGGAGAAATGAGACTCTGGAAATGAGGGTTCCTGGCCAAAGAACAAGCAGATGCAAAGGCCCTGAGGTAGAAAGGAGCACAACTGGTATGAGAGCCAGATCAGTTAGATTGCAGTTGGGAAGGGGATATGAGTGGGAGGGCCTAGATTAGTGGGATCTGGTTCTGCAGGTGTGTTTAGAACTCAAGAAAATATCCAGAATATGTCCCCGGAAACCCTGGCCACCTGTTGTGTCTAGAATTAGAATTATGTCTGGAATTATTATGAGGTAAAGCCAGGTATGGTGATACATACCTGTTATCCTGGTACTCAGGAGGCTGAGGCAGAAGGATCCCCAGCACGAGTCTGAAGGCAGCCCGGGCTATAGTGAGTTCAAGGCGAGCCTGAGATACGCAGTGAGACCCTGTATCAGAAATAATAAGAACAAAACGTGCAAGGCTGCAATGCTGGGGTAGGGTTCTGCATAGGGCTCGCTCTGCCAGCCTCGCTTCAGGGCAGGCAGAGGGCTGCTCTTTGGAGAAAGGGGGCTGCCCTGGGTCCTCTTGGATGCTGATCCGGAGAGGAGCTGTGCGCCCTGGCTCAGCCCGCAACAGTCATCCCTCGCTGGTCCCTGAGGTCCCAGCAGGCACGCTGCCACCAGCCCCAGTGGTCACGTCTGCAGTGTTGGCCCTTCTGTGTCACCAGGGAAGGGAACGCAGATCTGGAAGAAGAAAGGAGCCATTTATGAAGGGGACTGGAAGTTCGGCAAACGAGATGGGTACGGCACCCTCAGCCTTCCTGACGGAGAGACCGGGAAATACAGAAGAGTGTACTCGGGCTGGTGGAAGGGCGACAGGAAATCGGTGAGTGTTTCCACCAGACAGCCCTGTCCCCGTGTTACACAGGAAGACTCTGAGGCCCAAAGAAACACAAAGAATTATTTGCTCAAGGTCACAGAGTTCACAGGGACAGTGCTGGCTCTGTCCCCGGCAGAAGCAACACTCAGGTTGGTACCTGCAGGGAGAGGGGCTGCTGAAGGCTGGGAAGCCGGGGTGTGGTGGCACACGTCTGGACTCAGCACTGAGAGGCTGACGCAGGAGAATCACAAGCTTCAGTCTGGCTTGGGCAATTTTAGCAAGATCTTACTTCAAAACAAAACTTTAAAAATTAACAAAAACAAAAAAACACCCCAAAACAACAAGGCCTGAGAAGAAAAAAGTAGGGGCCTCTGGGGAGAAGCAGAGGTTGCCAGCTGGGTAGGAGAACGAAAGGGTGGGGGAGGGATAAGGCTTCTCAGAACAAAGCTGGGGAAGCAGAGGGACAGAGCAGGGAGCCAGGTTCGGGTGAGGCCTCCTCCACCCCCTTCCCCTGGTTTCCGCTTCCTTCCCCCTGGGTGTCACTTTCTGCGAATTCTCCTGTCCCGCTCCGGACAAGGGGGAGGGCAGGAAACAGGAGCAAGAAACCAGGGCCACGCCTTTGGTCATGGGACCAGAAAGGAAGAAGGGGTAGAAGCCAGCCAGAGGGGGACGAGTGGCCTTGACCCTGCATGGGGACACGTTTCTTCAGCTTGCTCACAAGACTTGGACACCGTGGGTCATGGCAACCGGTAACCACAGTGTCTCGGGCCAGAGGTGGTGATTCACAACTGTAGTCCCAGGTCCTTGGGAGGCTGAGGCAGGAGGATCACATGAGCCCATGAGGCCAGCCTGGGCAACACACGGAGACTCTGTCTCAGAAATAAAGACAATAGTATCGGTACTGAGCAGCTATCTTGTGAGCCCGGAACGTGAATGCAGCCGCTGAATTAACTCTTGGAATAACTTACCGGCATCATTTCCATTTTACTGATGGAGTCAAACTCAAAGACACGAAGCATTACCAGGTGTGACGGTGAATGCCTGTGATGCCAGCACTCTGGGAGGCTGAGTCAGGAGGAGAGGAAGTTCAAGCCCAGCTTGTGCAACGGGAAACGGAGTGAGGAGTACAGACAGCTGCTTCTCCTGGCCTCCTGGATGACCTGCAGGCAGTGGCTGATCCTGCAGTTTGGGGGTGCTGGCCCAGTGTGAGCAGATTAGTGATTAAAGGTCTTCCTGAAATTAGGCATGGTGATGCACCCCTATAATACCAGCACTGGGGATGCTGAGACAGGAGGATCAAGTTGCAAGTTCTAGACCAGCTTGGGCTACACAGTGAGCTCCAGGCCAACCTGAACTGCATAGTGAGACCCTGCCTCAAAAAGACCAAAAAAAAATTTTTTTTTTCTGAGCTGAGCAGGATGGTGAATGCCAGCAAATTCAGGAGGCTGAAACAGGAGGATGGCACCTTGGAGAGCAGTCTAGGCAACTTAGGGACTCCTAGCAAAATCAGAATAGAAAAGGTGGGGGCTCAGTGGCAGAGGGGCGCGCGCCAGCACAGCCAGGGACCCAAGTGCAAAGCACACGCAGGCACACACCTGTCCGGCTGCTGTACGGAGATGCATGGCCGGAGGAGAGGAGGGAAAGGGACAGGAGAAGCCTTGGGGCGGCCCCAGGACTGCGACAGCAGAGGGCTAGAGAGGGCGGAGGGCGGAAGGCGCTCAGGTGCCTTGGGTCCCTAGCAAGGTGGGGACACCGTGAACCCCGCCTCTTCTTGCTTTCAGGGATATGGGATCCAGTTTTTCGGACCCAAGGAGTACTACGAGGGTGAGTGGTGGAGCAGCCAGCGAAGCGGGTGGGGCCGCATGTACTACAGCAACGGCGACATCTACGAGGGCCAGTGGTGGAACGACAAGCCCCACGGGGCGGGCATGCTGCGCCTGAGTGAGTGCCCCGCCCGTCCCTGTCCGAAGGCCCCGCCCACCGAGCAGGCCCCGCCCACCGAGCAGGCCCCACCCCCTCCGCAGAGTCACATTCCTGGGGCCCTGCCTGGCCACGCCCCCACCAAGCCAGCTCCGCAGTGGGATAAAGTGACCGAGACGCCCTCCTTGTCCTTTCCATTTGGAAAGGGAAACTAGAAATAAGAGAACTCAGAAACAAAATTTGAAAAATTAGGGAATCTAGCCGGGCGTGGTGGCTCATGCCTGTAATCCCAGCACTCAGGAGGCTGAGGAAGGAGGATCCTTGCGAGTTCGAGACCAGCCTGGGCTACAAAGTGAGCGCAAGGCCAGCTGAACTGCATAGCAAAATCATGTCTCAAAAAGATCCAAAATAAAACAAACAAACAAACAAAAAAAAACAAGGGCCTGGGGATTTAGCTCAGCGGCATAAGCACCTGCCTTGCAAGCAGGTGGTCGCGAGTTCGATCCCTGGTACCGATAAAAATGAAAAAGACAAAAAAAAAAAAAAAAAAATGATGCTTCTGTTTGTGATGCACTTTTGGGTCCCTCGCCAGCGGCTGGGACTGGGTGAGGCCCCGGCTGTGGGCTGGCTGTGCCGATGCCCACACCCCTGTACCTCCCCAGAGAATGGGAATCGCTATGAGGGCAGCTGGGAGAGAGGCCGCAAGCATGGGCACGGGCGCTTCTTCCACCTGGACCACGGCCAGCTCTTCGAGGGCTTCTGGGTGGAGGATGTGGCCAAGTGTGGCACCATGATCGACTTCGGCCGCGAGGAGGCCCCTGCGCCCACCCAGTTCCCCATCCCTAAGGTGGGCAGCCCTCCATGGCCCTTGGGCCACGGGCAGAGAGAGTTGAAGCCTGGGAGAAACCAGAACCATTTTGGGCAAGCTGGACCACTGCCCAGTGCACCCCCCTCTGCCCGTTGCAGCTCAAGCTCCTGGACCCTGATGGTGTGCTCCAGGATGCCCTGGCTGTGTTCAAGCAGACAGAGGAAGAGGAGGAGGAAGACTGATGTCAGGTGAGCTGAGTGAGGCGCTCTGCTCTCTGGGTCTCCTGGGGCCTTGGGGGCGGGCAGGGAGGACTGGGTTCTTGATTTTGTCTTTTGAGATAGGGGCTCACTGTGTAGTTCATGCTGGCCTTGTACTCACAGAGATCTTCCTGCCTCAGCCTCCTGAGCGCCAGGATTACAGGCCTACATCACCATGTTGAGTTCTAGGGTGAAGTTCTTGCTTCCAAAGCTGAGATGCTTCTTTCTGCCCCACCCCACCCTCTCATTCTCCACCCCCAGCCCCTGACATCTGGCCCTGCCCACAGCTAGCTCTGCTCCCTGGGCCTCCAGGATGGGCTCTGGGTTCGAGTCAGTCCTGGGGATGAGGTGGGGACCCCACATCTCCCATCTGTCAGCTGGGTCCTGCCGCAGCGCCTCACGGGGAGTGAGAGTGAAGCTTGGAGGAGAGGAGAGGGCCCCCTCGACCCCCAGGGGAGACCTCGTTACCCAGCTGTGGGACTGGGCTGCTCTCTCCGGGCTCCCTGGGCGCCTCATTGCACCTGCACCTGGTGCTCTTTGCCAACACAGGTGCCGTTGCTTCTGTCTGCTCTGTCTCCGGCTGGCCTTGGGGACCCTCCTGTCACCACCTTAGCCCTGTGAGAGCGCCCCAATAAAGAAACCTTCAGCTTCTCGGGGCCTGCGATGTGAGGAGGGGGAGGCGGCAATCAAGGAGCATAGAGGCCAGGAGAGAAAAGGTGGGCTGCAGTCCACGGGGTCACAGGAGTTGGGGGGGGGGTCTCTGATTCTGGATGCCCATTACCTGGCCACCAAGAGGCGGGGCCCATCTTCACATCCTTTTTTTTTTTTTTTTTTTTGTCTTTTTCCTTTTTATCGGTACCGGGGATCGAACTCACGACTGCCTGCTTGCAAAGCAGGCACTTATGCCGCTGAAATAAATCCCCAGCCCCGATCTTCACATCCTAATACAGGGCTCCCCGCCTTGGGATCCTTACAAGCTTTAAAAGTGGTGGCTGGGTGTGGTGTGCTTGCTTGGAACTCCAGCTATGGGAGGCTGAGGCAGAAGGATTCTGATTTCTAGGCCAGCCTGGACTACACAGCAAGATCCTTCTCCAAAGAAAACCTTGATAGCCATAAATAAATGGCTGTGGATGGAGCTGTCAGGATGCTAACATTAAGAAAATGCTAACATCAGTAGGCATGAGACCCTGGTAGCCTTAGTATCACACAAAACAACAAAAACAGACTACGGATGTCAAGGTCCTATGCCCAGGGATACCTGCCCATTCCCTAGGGAATTCTGATGTAGTTCGGGGTCCAGGAACCTTGAATAATGGGCCGGGTAACCCTCAGCAGGTGGCCTCACTTTCAAAGATGTGACAGCAGATACAGAGACGTGTACTGAGCTTAACTGTGGACCAGAGGCCCACGAGGAAGCATCACGCGACATTCCTTCATTTTTTAGATAGGGTCTCACTGTGTAGCCCAGGCTGGCCTCCAGCTTGGAGCAATCCTCCTGCCTCAGCCTCCTGAGTGCTGAAATTACAGGCACACGCCACCAAGTCTGGCTCTATTAGAGGAGGAAACTCAGGTCGGGGAGGTTCACAGGTTCACAGGTCTCCAAGTCAGTACTGCATTTAAACCTGGGATCCACGTGCCCTTAAGGTACCAAAGGGTAAATGTTTATAAAGCTGGTTGTTTTATTTTTGTTTTTAAGTGAGAGGATGTGCTTGGTTATGTGTTAAATGTCTTCAGAGCGGAACACAATAAACTGGTGGGGTGGGCAGGACAACTTCACACTGCTGTCCTGGAAACTATAAATGTTACGTCTACTGTGTTCAGGACAGAAAGAACCCTTAGAGCTGTGCTCTTTATTCATCTGGAGATGGGGATCGAGCCCAGGGCCTCAACATGCTAGGCACATGCGTCACTACCCGCTCCAGCCCTGAGATTGTGCTAGAAGGACCGGTACTGGCCTGTGCTGCTCGGGTGTGGGACTGACCCTGTGCTGGCCACTAGTGCAGGGGACCCGCCAGGACCAACCTAGTGAGACTCTCCAAGGGGAGCAGAGGGCCTACTTGTTTCTCTTTTCCTTTGTGGTATTGGGGATTGAACTGGAAGCTCTCACTGCACCATGCCCCCAGCTCTTTTCTTTGGGACAACACCTAAGCTGCCCAGACTGGCCTCGTTTGTTACCCTCCTGCCTCAGCCTCCTCAGCACAGCAAGCCCCTTATTTAGGGATGTTCTCCAGGAATAGAACTGTTCACAGATGTAAGAGAGTCTTGCTGGGATTAGCATGCCTGCTGCTGGGCTAGGCTGGGCAACAGGCTGGACCCTTGAGCTATTTAGGAGGGAGGGGCTAAGATTACAAACTCACAGCCCAGAAAGTACTGAGGTGAGGGCCGGGGATTTAGCTCAGCGGCATAAGCACCTGCCTGGCAAGCGTGAGGTCATGATCCTCAGTACCAAAAAAAAAGAAGTACTGAGCTGAATCCCAGACCTCTGCTGAAGCAGGGGAGGTGTGGTGAGTGGGGTGGTGCACCACTGTGATCCCAGCAGTCTGGGAGGCTGAGACAGGAAGATTGCACGTCCCTCCCCAGCCTGGGAAATCAGCATAGCAAGACTGTCTCAAAACAAAATATTAAAAAGGCCTGAGGATGTAGCTCAGTGTGAAGGCCCTGGGGGCACATGGGGGCGTGTGCCGAGCCAGAGGTCTGTCCTGGGCAACAGGACAGAGGTGACAAGGAGGGACGCATGTGTATGAGGCCTGCAGTGCCAACCCTGCCCCAGCAGAGTGCTTCTTCTCTAAGACCCTCCAGACACCTGGTTTATACCCTGGGCCAAGCAGGAGTCTTCAGCTTGGGGTCTTCAGGGTCCTGACAGGCACTTAGAAGGGACGCTGGCCTGGTGTGGGACAAGAGGGGGCAGTGGGCACCATGGCAAAAGCCAGGTTGGGGCAGGGGGTGGCTGCATCTCAGCTCCCACACTTAGAAAGTCAGTGAGGTGGACCAGTGCACCTGGATCGCCCCCATTTTCAGCTATACCAGAATCGGGCCTGTAAGATCTGTGCTAGGGCCTCGACTGTGTGCCGGTTTGTGGCTCTGAGCCCTGGCCAGGTGACTTCGCCTCTTTGAGCCTCTGTGTTGGTACCTGCGGATCCGAAGCAGTGCCCGCTCCGGAAGGTGCCAGCTGAGCCCTGACCACGCTGTTTTCCACGGGTCCTGGCACCAGCTCACAGAACATTCCCCGGCGCACACCACACCCTCTGGCTGGCAGGATAAGAAAACAGCAGAGGCCAGGCGGACGGACGGGGCACTCTACAGAACCACGGGGCCGAACCTTCACAAACAAAGGCTGAGGGACTGACCCAGCGAGGGAGGCAGGCTGGCGAGCAGACGCTGCAGGGACAGGGGTGGGGGCACTGGACGTCTCTGTCACACAGCTGGGTTCTGCAGGGCAGGGGCCTTGGCTTTAGGAAGAAGGACACGGGCTGACAGACTGCCAGGTCGGCTCCACCTCGGGTTTCTGTTTTGGTGTTTTGAGAGGGTCTCACTGTGTAGCCCAGGCTGGCCTCAAACTAGCAGTGGATCCTCGTGCCCCAAGTGCTGGGCTTTCTAATTCCACTATCTGTGAATTTATCAACTTACCAAGATCTAAAAAGGACACCAAGTTCCCACACCGTGAATGAGAATCCTTTTCAGTCTATTTAGTGTCCTATTTTGTGCTTTCTGTTGGTACTAAAGATGTTTAAGGTGGAACCCAGTGGACCAAGGACTTGGCTCTGTCATAGCTGCAGAAGCCCTAGATTCAACCTCTTTAGCACCACAGGGATCTGTGGACGGCACCCTAAAGCCATGAAGGTCATGTGTCTTACAGACAGGTACATGGTACATACTTGGGAGGCTGAGGCAGGAGAAATGCTGAGTTCAAAGCCAGCCTGGCCTCCACAATGTGTTCAACACTGGGACTACAGAGAGAGATTTTTAAAAATGTCTTACAGAGAAAATAATGCATTAGATAAGCCTTGTTCTGGCTTGCACTTCTGTGATTAGCCCTGAGTGCGATGCTGGTGAACCAGCATAAAGATGTCTTGGTGCAGACTGCAGGCAATCAGTGTCTGTACCAGTGAGGAGGCATCAGGCCAGGCTGGTTCCTGGCTTCCCACATCCGCTAATCCAATGTTCACAGTTCACGGTGACTTCACCAAAGCAATAGAAAGAAGTCAGTGTGTGCACATTTCAGTTACCAGTCATGCAGCCTTTCTGTGCTGCTTGGAAATTTCTCAAAAGGAAAAAATTTAAGAGCTCTTTTATTTTTGCAGTGAAAAACATCCAACTGATGGCCTCCCATAAACTAGGCAAGGGCTACACTCCTAGCTACGTCCTCAGCCTGCCTCAGTCAGTCAGTCTGTCTGTCTGTCTTTCTGTATTTTTGGATACTGGAATCAAACTCAGGACCTTGCACTTGTCAAGCAGGCACTTGTGTCACTGAGCTACATCCCCGGCCCCCCTCTTTTTTAATTTTGCAGTACTGGTGATTGAACCCAGGACCTCAGTACTGAGCTACATTCCTGGGTTGCTCAGACTTGCAATCCTCCTGCCTCAGCCTCCCAGACTGCTGGGATTACAGGTGTGCACCACCACATCTGGCTCCTAAAATATTTTAAACTTTGTTTAGAGGCTCACCTGACCAGGCCTCCAGGGGCAATGACACCAGGCAGTCCAGCCACGCAGCACATACACAGCCAGGAGGAGGAGGTGTCCCTCAGGAGTATATTTCTGTATTCACACGCGCACACACACACGCACCCACACTCGACACGGACTGGGGAGGGAGGTGGGGCCGGAGCATCTCGGGGTGGAGGGAGGAGACAGACCATCTGTCCTCATTTGACCCCCGCCACCTCCTCCCCAGAGCTGGAAGGACAAGAAGTGCTAGTTCTCCAGAGCTAAGTCTCAAGGTGCAGTCACTTTTTTAAAAAGCCCCTTCCTGCCCCTCTGTGCCCACGGAACCCGGGCCGTGCACGGGCTGGCGCGGGTCAAGGCCACTGGGAAGGGAGGGCATCAAGGTCTGGACACCGAGGCCTCGCAGGCAGGCTCAGGCATAGTGGCTGCCGGGTGTCAACGGGTGGTCCCCTCTGTGGTCCAGCTGGTCCTGCAGGCGTGCGAACTCGGCCAGCTCGTTGAGCTCCTGGAACTGTCGGTCCGTCTTGTGGCTGACCAGCGAGCGGTAGAAATGCACGGCGAAGACGATGAAGATGAGGCCGAAGGGGACCATGATGGTGGTGGAGGCGATGGCCGCAGCCTGGCCCGGCGTGATGCCGCTGCTGCCGTTGGTGGGCAGCTCACCTCCCGGAGGCAGCCTGCCGGTGGGGCGCGGCTGGCCCGGCTCAGGCTGCTTCTTCAGTGGCAGGAACTTGACCCAGCAGAGCAGCACGACCTCAGCCAGGAAGAGCAGTGTGCCAATGACAGTGGAGAAGGCCCAGGCCAGCTCAATGTGGCGGTGCATGCGCTCGTGCGGTGACTCCTTGACCGAGTTGAGGTTGTGCACGTTGCTCACCGCCTCAACGTTGGGCAGGATGCAGGTGCTGATCATGAGCGCGAACAGGTGCACCGCCACCAGCACAGTGGTGCAGGCGCTGAAGGCGATCAGCAGCCCCGGTGGGTAGTCGTGCTCAGCGTCCAGCTGCACCTCCACCATGGCCACCTGGGGAGGGGAGGAGGACAAGAAGCTGGCTGAGTGGCAGCATGGAGAGAGCCGTGCCCGAGTCCTGCTTCTCCTCCCGCCAGCCTCTGGACCTTGGGCCTCAGGGTCCATGTGGATGTCATGGGGATCGTGAAGCCAGGTGGGGTAGTGCACACCTGTAATCCCAGCACTCTGGGAGGCTGAGGCAGGAGGATCTCAAGTTCAAGCCTGGCTGGGTAACTTAGTGAGGCCCTGGGTAAGCCCAAATATTAGACAAAGTCTAGAGTACCTGAGTGTGAAGGCCTTGGGTTCAGTTCTTCATATCACAAGGCGGGGGTGAAGCTAATGCAACCCATCCACTCTGGTTTGAGAAGTGAAAGCCTGGACCCCATTAGCTGAGTATTCTTAGGAAAGTCATTTAACCTCTCAGCTTCAGCTTGCTTGCTTTTTCTGGAAACAGGGTCTCACTGTGTAATTCAGTGAGAATTGACCCTGAACTTACTATGTATCCCTGGCTGGTCTTAAACTAGTAGAGATACTCCTGCCTCAGCCTTTTGAGTGCTGGGATCACGAGCATGCACCACCATGACCCCGGCTTCCCCCAGGAAAGTGAACCTGTAAGATAGGGCTATGCTGTCAATACAGAGGCCTCTAGAGGCTTATCTCAACAATTAAATGAGAGTTCCTGGGATGTGGGAACTGCCTCAGCCAACTGACCACCCAAAATGACTAGCACAATCTGACATATGCAGTTTGCTATTCTAAAAATAGGGGCTGAGTTGTCACTCAGTGGTAGAGCAAGGACCATGAGTTCAGTCCTCAGTAAGCACCACTGCCACCCCTGTGGGTCCTACCTTCTCACATCCCAACAGGGGCTGACTTTGCTGCCCTGCTGGGGACCAGGAGCAGCCCCCAGGGCGCACGCAAGCTTTCTGAGAACCCAGCACGCACACAAGGAGGAAACAGAGAGGCTTGTGGGAAGAGCCAGGCTCAACCCCAGGGACTAGGCAGGCGGGCGCCAGCAGCCCCAGGCTGTCTCCTGGGGGTGGGGAGATGCACCCACTGCTCCCTGCTTCCTGGAGACTTGGGGTCACAGGGGCCACACTCCAGGGTGCGCCGCCCGCTCCTGTGACCTGCGCCCCACAGATCACCCTCATGCAAAGCAGCCAGCTCATCAGATTTGCTGCAGGAGCGGTCAGCAGGTGGCAAGCGGCTGCCAGGCCCGTCCGGGAGCACTGGGGGCTGAGGGCCACAGGCACCAATCAGTGACAGGAACGCAGGGACTCAGGCCAGGGCTGTGAGCGAGTTAGGGACGCACTCTACCAACTGAGGGACACCCGCCACAAGGCTTTTCTTTGTTTTTCTGAGACAGGGTCTTGCTGTGTAGCCCAGGTTAGTCTCGAACTCAGTGCTGGGATTACAGGTGTGTGACTCTGCTTTTTTTTTTTTTTTTTTTTTAAATGGTTCTGCGGATTCCACCAGGGCCTTCGAATTGAGCCCTTTTGGGTTAGGAGCGTGAGACAGCGTGGGCTCCAACTTGTGACTCTCTGACCTCAGCCTCGCCCAGTGATGGCAGAACAGATGCACGCCGCTTTTTTATGAGACTGAGACAGCCTCACTAAGTTGCTCAGGCTGGCCTTGAACTTGCCATCCTTCTGCCTCAGCCTCCCAAACCGCTGGGGTTGTGCTCCCTCTGGCAGCCCATGTACCACGCGGCTGGGGCTGCAAGTGTGCACCCCTCCCCAGCAGGCCAGTGACTCTTTCTAAAGTGGCTTGGGGTAGGGATCTGAGGCTGAAGTTTGCACAGCAGTCCCAAAGGACTCTGCCCCAGGCAGGCAGGGAGCCCTGCAGGAGTCTCCACGCAGGGGCAAACTCCCCTCGGCCAGCCTGCCCAGTTCCCAACTCTCACACCTCTGCCCTCTGCTAGACTGTGCGACTCTGTTAGGTTCTTTTTTTTTTTTTTTTTTTTTTTGTACTGAGGATCAAACTCAGGACCTTGAGCTTGCAAGGCAGGCACTTATGCCACTGAGCCAAACTCCCGGTCTTCTCTTAGGTTCTTTGAACCTTCTCTGCCTCACTTTATACATCTGTAAATGGGGGTGACGGTACATGCCTCAGAGGGATGTCAGGAGAACTAAGTTAATCCATATGAAATACTTAGGCATACAGTGAGGTGTCAGGGGAAGTGAGCTCTATATTAATCCCTGTTTCTTTGAGACATACTGTGTAGCCCAGGCTGGCCTCAAACTTACATCGATCCTCCTGCCTCAGCTCCCTCAACCCCCAGTGCTGGGATTACACAGGTGATGCCACACCCAGAAATTTATTCAGTTGAGAACCTGAAAATGCAAAACCACTGTCTCTCCAAAATTGTTCTGGCCTGGCAAATGCCATATCCTGAGTTTGCTCTCCGGCACACACACAAAAAAATTGTTCTGGAGGGCAGGCTCGGCCAGAAAGCCAGACACATAGGGCCCCTGGACAACCCTGCTTTATTTACCCTAGGTCATCAAGCAGGACTTCCCCTCTCCACGAAAAAAGGAGAGTGGTGAGATCAAGGTTAGAGTCTGGAGTTGGCCTGAGGATCTGAGGGGAAGGGTGGGCCATCTTACAACAGGTTTCTATTTCCTTAGGCCTGCTGAGACCATTTCAATGGTTTCCCTTGTTTTGCCTAAAAGTTCTTATAACTGACACCACTGCTCTGGGAGGCTGAGGCAGGAGGATGGAAAGTGTAAGCCCAACTTGAGCAAACCAGCAAGACCTTGTCTCAAAAAGTACTGGGAATGCAGCTCAGTACAAAAGCCCTGAATTCATTCCCAGTAAGGGGAAAGAGAAGAAGGGGAAAAAAAGCCCACAGCTGACGAAGATACATATTTTGCAGCCTGGGAGTTTACCAAACAGTTCCAACTTGTATAAATTTGGGGCAGTGCCATTAGGATTTTGACTGCTTTTAACATCTCTGGTGGCCTAAAGCCAACTGTGAGAACTCTCTGACCATGCGGGTGGGGGACAGGGGATGGGGCAGCAGGGCAGATTAGAGCCACGTGCCCTGTGCCCCATGCCCCTCCCTATGGCCCTGGTCTCCGCTGCCAGACCAGCTTCACCTGGAAAAGGCCCCCACCCTCCCCTCCCCCTGCTTCCTCTTCCTGTTTTGGCCCAGCGTCCGGGAACCTGAAACCTGAGAAGGACATGGGTAGGACAGGCTTTGGCCTGGGTGCTGGTGCCTGAGCTCCCAGGAGGGTCAGGCCCTGAAGCCTGGGGTGTCTGTGGGGGTGGAGAGCCTGTGTACAGGTACCTCCCAAGCCCTGCCCTACTGCCCAGCCTCCCTCCCCCAGAGAGCCCTGGCTGCGAGTCTGTGCTGCTGACCTCCACTCTGGGACAGGCAGCCTCTCTGAGCTGCAAGCTGCATCCTGCTTGGGGTCATTAACAGCATCCAAAGGTACAATGAACACAGAGCCCTCTGCCAAGACCTGGCATACAATGCAGAGTCTACAGTGTGTGGGGCCTTCATTACCACCCCCCTTTTTTTTCAGTACTGGGGACCAAACCAGGGCCTCTGGGCTACGTTGTTGCCCAGGCTGGGCTTGAACTTGTGATCCTCCTGCCACAGCCTCCTGGAATGCTGAGATTCCAGGCGTGCACCAGCATGCCCAGCTCTGTTGTATTATCTGAGGCTCTGAAGAAGTGAGACCAGCAGTCCCAAGGGTTCTCTCCCCACTGGGTGAGCTACCTTAAGTCAAAGCCACTCTAATGCCCATTTACAAGTGGCCCAGGCCTGAGATACCACCACTCGGGAGGCTGAAGCAGGAAGGTCAAAAATTCCATCCCAATCTGGCAACTCCCAGTGCTGTCAAGTAAAATAAAATAAAGTCCATGTGCAGTGGGGGTCCAGGGCGCTTCCCTCAGTCACCGGGAAGGTTAAATGAGGTTCTAAAGCATAAATGTTTGCACAAGCCCTAGGAGAAACTGGATAAATCTCAGTTAAAAAGCGCTTATGCTGCTGAGTTAAATCCCCAGCCCAGAAAAAGAGCTTGAAGCGGAACAGCTTGAAGAGAAACAGCTCCATCCTGGCCCCCTCTCTGGGCTCCTTCATGCCATCCCCAACCCAGAGCCAGGAGCGTGCACCCCGATTTATCAGGCCAGAGGCCCCTCACACTGGTCACACCCCAGGCTCCAGGGCTAGGACTGCAGCTGTGGGGGGATCAAGCCTTGGCCTGGGGAGTGGCGGGGCCCCCTCAGAGGAGGAGGAAGGTGCAACCACTGCCTGCTCTGCAAGGGACCCCATGACCTCACTGCACCCCGCCACTCTGGAGGGTGCCATGTGCACACCGTATCAGAGTGCCAGGAGATTCTGGACCAGATGAAAGCAGCAGTTTGGTGTAAATCATGGACCTCGATGACAAGGCTTCGATGCTTTCTCCAGAATCCTCCCTGCTTGGGGAATGTGTCCCCTGTGGGGACAGTCAAGGCAGGGGGAAATTCATGGGGGCCAGCAGCTGACTCCAGGGGCCCTGTAGAGTCCCGGGGAGATGGGGTGGGATCAGATTGCAAGCAGCTTCACAAGGTAAATATAGCCCTGAGAGCAGGCCGTTAACCCAAAATAAATAGCTGCCAGCCAGCCCTGGGCCTCCTTGAACCTGGCCACATGGGGCCTCAGGGCAGGCAGGGTGACATCCTCCCCCCAGCCGGGCACACAAAGCCTCAAGGGAAGGCAGAAGACCATGTGGTCCTGGCTGGCTCTGCCAAGCCTCTGTCACTTATATGGGGCCCATGAGACCTGGGACACCTGAAAGCCCAGGCCTGAGCAGGCCTAGCTCCCTGTCCCCAGCCTGGGCCGTCTCAGGCTCTTCCCATCTGGGTCTTCAAGCCAGTCATTCCGGGTCACCTGGAGCGAGAACCGTCTATTAAGAGAAGACAGTTTACAAAGCCCCTTGCCTACCAGCCCAGCTCTCCGAATGTTCCTATCAATAGACAGTGCGCTCTTATAACAGAGATGAAGCTATGCCCAGCACCGTCAGCCC